GCACACTGGACCCAGAGACATCTGAGCCGACGGACAATCTGACTGAGCAAGCTATGGAGTTCTGCCAGAGGGTGGGCAGCAGGGCCAGCACCGTATCGGAGATTGTGGAGCCCAGAGACGAGGCTGTGTATCAGGCCATCCAGGAGGGGATCCAGAGGGTGAATGCAAACGCAGCAGCCCGGCCCTACCACATCCAGAAGTGGGCCATTCTCAAACGTGACTTCTCCATTTCCGGTGGAGAACTGGGTAAGGGTTTCTTCTCACTATTCTTGGGGCTATATGGAAGGGCAAAGCCCATGGCAGTGGCAGGAGGAGCCTATGAGGAAACCGTGCCAGCAGGAGGTGTCAGATAAGGCTTCGGACAGCATCTAAGCAGGGTGCCTTGATTGTGTTCAGCCTGAAAAACAGTCACTTCCAATTCCATCAGATGCAACCACCTTGAATTAGAAACACCCAGGGGAAAAGCTGTATCTGTCCTGAACATATGCAGGGTTTTTATTATCCCTCAAATCATAGAGTACAACTCCTCACAAAATACAGTGTCTTAGGTATCAAAAGTCATCTACAGATGACTTAGAAGCATAAAGGAAGACATGTTGGTCATGTGCAAACACGTGTGATTTCACATATGGGTCCAGAACACTGGACTGGTGTCTGGTGTTGAGTAGGGAGCTCCTGAGACCTGTGAACACAGACATGAGTGTATTACATTTGTGCCAGAGCTTATCAATATGAGCATGAAATGTTTAGCTTTGCCTTAGCCATGAGACTCAATTCTGTTGAGTTGGAGTGCACCCATCAGGCACACACCATAGCCCTGCTGGCATCAGGGCTGAACTGAAACCACCATAGTCTGTGACATCAGCCACATAGCTGTTAAAGGGACAAAACTATCTGGACCACAGTCCAAGCCCTGAAGATCCAGGTGGCAGCCCCACCTGGCCAGGTGAGGCTCTCCTACCTATTGGGCATCTTGGGGTGCTCATGGCAGAACACTGAATAGGCTCCTTGGTGAGACTCTCTCAAATCTACACACACTGCAAGTAGTCACACTGTCCACAGCAATGCTCTGCTGTGTCTGAGATGCTGGGAACACATAACCGGATTTGTTCAAATTAAAATGCAAGGGCAGCTGGGCATTGGTGGCACACACCTTTAATCCCAGCACTCGGGAGACAGAGGCAGGAGGATCTCTGTGAGTTTGAGGCCAGCCTGGTCTACAGAGCAAGTGCCAGAATAGGCTCCTAAGCTACACTGAGAAATCCTGTCTTGAAAACAAAACAAAACAAAACAAAAAAGTTACCCAGCACCTTAAGTTGGGGGTCTTTTCAACCTTATATTAAATGGGAGAAACAAAGGCTAAGAAAACTAATTTGACGAAGCCATTTTAGACATTAAGATGTTGTTGGGAGCTTCCTCATCCCAACCCATCAAAGCTAAGTCTATCATTACGAACTGACCCCGAAACACGGGGAGGAGGCTTTGTGTATAAGCCATTGCTGTGAGACAGCTACTCCCAAATGGAGGCACTTAAACAATAGACATGGAGCCTAGTATGGTAGGATGTGCCTGCCATCCCAGCACTCAAGACGTGAAGGCAGGAAGATCAGGAGTTTAAGGCTAACTAACCTCTGCTACATAGCAAGTGCAGAGCCAACCGAGGCTACACAAGACCCTGTCTCAAATAAATAAACAAGCAAACAATAAACATTGTCTTCATTTTGGTGAGCCAAGAACCAGGAGCAGCTGATCTGAGTGGCCAGACTGGCAGTTTTCCATGACGCTGGTCAGAGTAGTCTGCATGGCAGACACCTGGAGCCCAGGATTGCCCACTCATATAATTGCTCACTCAGACTGGCTCAGCGAGGCAAGAGGCTTCAGTACTTGGTCAGCAGACCTCCCACAGGCTGCTTATATATCCTGGCATGGCCGCTGGCTTACCCTGTAAGGAATGTCTGATTGAGACACGGCGGATGACTGCTGCATCATTTGCAGTTGACATTCTGCATGCAAAGGTCCCACATCTATGGATCTCAACAACATTAGATCAAAAACTTAAAAAAACAATTCGTGTGACTATGTAGACAGCCTCCCTGAATCTTTCCCCAGTACTGCCATTGACTCTAGCTAGGACCTCCAACACACCAGGCAAGAGCTTTACCACTGAACTGTCTCCCTGGTTCTTTATTTTTTTTTTTAATTTTGAGACCAAGTCTTACTAAATTGCCCTGACTGGCCCTGAATTCATTGTAGCTCAGGCAGGCCTTGAACTTGTGATCCTCCTGTCTCAGCCTCTTGAGTAGCTCAGGTTACAGGCCACAGAGCTCTGACTATACATTTTTCCCATTATATGAACACTAGTTTATTTACATACCATTTGTACTGTATTTGGTATTCTGAGCAGTCTAGAGATAGCTTTACGTGTATGGATTTTCATGGGCTTTGTGTAAATACTACACAGTTTTATAAAAGGCTTTGAGCATTTTCTAGATTAGGTATTTGAGGTTTCCAGACCAATAATACCCCCTGTATTCTGAGATAGGGTATGTTCATTCAAAGGAAAATCAGCTGAGGATTGTGATGGGGACAGACAAGTCAAGGAGAAAGTGAATACTACTTTATTACGTAATGGTGGAAAAAGTCACTTCTGCTCCTGGAAATGACACTCTTATCACCTCCTCTGTATCTTATTGGCTGCCAACCAACCCTAGCTGACCATGACACAGGGAGGCTCAGGGGATAGAGCTGAGGGACTCTTGCCTCAGAGGCTGGCTGTGTGACACATCCTGCTTCTCTGGCTTACTTCCTGTCTCCTGGGTTTCATATGAGGTCTGTCTAGTTACTTTTCTACTGCTGTGATAAAACACCATGACCAAATCAATGTATAAAAGTATTCAATGGGGGGGGGGCCGCTGGAGAGATGGCTCCGTGGTTAAGAGCACTGCCTGCTCTTCCAAAGGTCCTGAGTTCAATTCCCAGCAACCACATGATGGCTCACAACCATCTGTAGTGAAATCTGGTGCCCTCTTCTGGCCTGCAACATACATGCAGGCAGAACACTGTACATAATAAATAAATAAATCTTAAAAAAAAAAAAAAGTATCCAATGGGCTTATAGTTCCAGAGGGTTAGAGTACAAAATAGCAGAACAAAGGCCTGGCAGCAAGAATAGCTGAGAGTTAATTTGAAATGGTACAAGTCTTTTGAAACCTCAAGCTCACCCCCAGTGACAAACCTCCTCCAAGGCCGCATCTCCTAATCCTTCCCAAACAGTTCTATCAACTGGGAACCAAGCCCTAAAAACACATGAGCCTGTAGAGACCATTTTCATTCAAACTACCATACCTCCACAAATCACCAAACCTAGGCTTTACTCATTTCCTCCAATTTCTTCTTTTAGGCCCCACCATGAAATTGAAACGGCTAACGGTTCTGGAGAAGTACAAAGATATCATCGATGCCTTTTACCAAGAGCAAAAACAGTAGTCAGGGGCTATGCTTGTGGCATCTACTGGAGGGAAGACAGCCTGTCAAGCATCTTACTGAGCTCCAAGTGTCTTCCTCCTGGACACAGGAACCTCTGACAAGCTGGTTTCACCCCTAGTTCAGGGCATAGCACTGACATCTCCAGTACTTTAACCACTGCTCCTGTTCAAGTGTCAAACGAGATCATTCTCCTTCCAACAGAGAAGACTGCTCATTTTGGCCTCAGTCCAGGCAGACTTAACAAGGTTCTAGTTCACCGAACAGGTCTACCAGGGCTGGCTGTTGGAGGAGAGGGAGGAGGTTGACAGTCCCATTACTAATGTGTGCTGCAGACAGCAGTCACAGCTGACTTAACAGCCTGACTTAACTCTGGCACCATCTTGAACACTAGTTATCAGATACTCCTCCACCTTACACGCTTGATGTTTAACAAACTGTTGCTGCCTATGTGACTGTATTTAATATGTAATTTTGAGTATTAAAACTTTTAACAGACCTGCAACAAGTACCTGATGTTTTCTGTCGATTGGGTGGGTGGGACAGAGCATGCATGAACAGTTAACCCACAGAAGTGTAACCATTAGTACATTATTAGTGGCCTACAATAAACAAAGGTGCATAAGGGGTCAGGTGGAACGTTCTAGTTAAAGCAGCCAAGTCTATTACCACCTATTACAGCAAGCTAAGCCAAAATGCCCTAAGGCACCTGACCAGGAAAGAGGCAGAGAATGCAACCATCTCAGTGAGTTTTTAAATTCTTTATTACTGTGAACCCAAAGCCACTGGTAACTAGAACAATCCAGTAAGACAGAGAAAGCAGTAGCTGAAAGTAAAATACAGATGGTAAATCTGAATAAAAGCGTTAAAAATGACCCAGATGGGGATATCTGTTGTTAGGAGATCCCCTTGTGACCGGGATACATTATGCAAACTGGCACAAGGGCTGAGGGAAGACAGCTTGACTTAGCTGTGGGCCAGAGGATAGCTCCATGCTGCAGAGCAGAGGCTTTGGGGAGGCATGGGGACAGGAACCTGATGGTCAGAAGCAGGTAGCATGGGCCTCAGTTTGGGCTGAGTCAGTTCCGCCTCTGCAGTGGGGTCTTTTGTAGGTGCTACTGGGGCAGAGGGCAGTGACTGGGTGCTCTAGGGGGAAGTGAAGGGACAACTATGAAATATAAGTCAATAGCCAGCATGCCAGAGTCCTCAACTACAGTCAATACAGGTGGCCAGGCCTTTCCAGTATCACCTGAGCACCGACTGGAGCGTGGCCCTTTCTAGGGCCTTATAGGAGTGGATCTGCAGTGGCTGGCTCCCTGGCTGAGAGGTTCAGACAGCTCATGATGCTCACTCACAATCTAGTGTCTAGTGAAGAGGAATGACTGCCCTTAATTAAAAGTACTCCCCCCAAAAATAGTAAATCTCCAGGTAACAAAATAGTTGCATACACAGGGCATCTAGGGCTTTAACTCAAGGATTACCTATATGTTATTAACAAAATTACACATCGTTCATTATATATTTCTTGGAGCTTAAATTTTTATTAATAGTAATTCATGTATAGGACAAATATCTTTATTTTCCATATTGCTAAGAAATATACCATTTTTTTGCTGTGAACTTTCCTAGGAAATTTCTTTTGTGCCCATTTAGTTTTAGGGTAATGTTATCTTGTGTGACATTTAAACCCTGCTGTAGTCTCAGTATATTTTTCATAAACCAAAAAACAGGGCTTTTGTTAAAAAGTTAAATATTTTCTCTTATTAATTCTGTATCATAATATTTACAGCTGAGGAAAAACTATTTTACCTGAAGTGTAAAATGGGTAACAATGGTAAATGATACAGTTCACTTACAGTTTACAAAAAAAGGTTTACCAGATAGACAATAAATACAACAAGCACTTGGGGAAACCCTCTGACTGAAGGCCAAAGGCCATCATGTGCATCTGTTGCAAGGGTTTTGTTAAGAAAAGGCCAGATTTGAAAATGTACTCTGTCAAGAAGCAAGCAAACCAATGGCGGGTGTTCTCAAGGAGGATTACAGGGTACCCTTCTGGAGTGACTGACAGCAGCAAATCCATCTGCAGAAGTTCTAATCCAAGTCCTTTACTCGGCGGCAAATTTCTTCTGTGAAGTCAGAGCACTTCGAATTGCCTCCCAGGTCTTTTGTTAAGCTCTGAGAAAAGGGAAATGCAAAAATAAACATCTATCACCACACTAAATTAAGGCAAGAATATTTTTACTTAAAGCACTCAGTAAAATAGGAACCGAGCAAGGTACCTGCCTACTGATTTTAAAGGGAGGTCCCATTATATACTATCTACCTACCATAGGAGGCCTGGGGAAACCCCATGAGGTGTGTACAAACAAACGTTCCCAAGTCAGGCATGATGGTGCACCGCAAGAATCCCAGCACTGAGAGGCTGAGGCAGGAAGATTCTTACAAGTTCAAAGCCAGCCTGGTCTATACATCAAGTTCCAGGTCATCCAGGACTTGGTAGCAAGACACCCATCTCAAAACAAAACAACACTGTATTTAAGGAAGTGTGGTAAAGAAATCACAGAAACAGCTGGGCGTTGGTGGTGCACACCTTTAGTCCCAGCACTCGGGAGGCAGAGACAGGTGGATCTCTGTGAGTTCGAGACCAGCCTGGTCTACAAGAGCTAGTTCCAGAATAGCCTCCAAAGCCACAGAGAAACCCTGTCTCAAAAAAGAAAGAAATCCCAGAAATGGCTGCTCCATTAAGGGCAATGTTTTTATTGTGAATAAGAAAGAGAAAAGTACCCAGCACTAGGGAGGCAGAGGCAGGCGGATTTCTGTGAGTTCGAGGCCAGCCTGGTCTCCAGAGCGAGTGCCAGGATAGGCTCCAAAACTATACAAGGAAACCCTGTCTCGGGGGAAAAAAAAAAAAAAAAGAAACAAAGAGAAAAGTATCCAGAGGTACCTGGAAGATTCAGAGCACAGAAAAAAAGAAACACACTGGACATGTCCATGGCTATCTTCAAGAGATGTGAGAAAGCATGAGAGAACCGTGGAGACAGCAAGAGACAGTGCAGCGAGCAAGCGAGCAAGCAGCGCAATGGGTGGTGGAGACAGGGACAAAATGGGCACCTGGGAGGAGGGAAGCCTGGGGAGGGGAGAAGGGCCAGGGTGCTGGCTTTGTAACGTATAGCATGTAACCACTGGAGCATGTCACTGAAAAGCCATATGTCCTTCCTGCCAGAGGCAAGAGAAATGACTTTCTGGGAAGACAAAAAAAGATTCACAAGTTCCTGAGGAACACTGGTTTTATCCAACCACCAAAAGTACTTCTATAGTCCAGCCTGCACTCAGTGCCTGAGACCTAACAAGCACCTCTCAAGGATAAGGCCTTTCTAAGGAGAAGGGAAATTTTCCAGAATTTATCCTTTGTTCAAACTATTGGCTGAGAAAATACTGGTTGGTTATGGATAGTTAAATGAAAGAAAATCTAAGCATAAAGGCTGAGAGGAAATTTCAAAGTTCAAAAAAATTATAAGACATGTTCTGCTCTATTTTAGTATTTGGAGACAAATAACATGAAAACACATAACTCCTAACTTTCCTCTTTAGGAGAAGTTTCTAGTATGGCCAATCTGTTTTCTACCAACTCATTTCCTCTTCACTGCAAACAGGCATCAGTGTGTTGAATTCCCTCCTGCAGCTCATGGTGCAGAACTAAGAAAGCCTGTGTCAGCCAGGCATCTTTCTGCTCGGCTCTAGACTATCACTTCCCAAACACAGGCTCTGAATAAATAACAAGATCATGTGCTGCTAAAGTGATGTCAGGCTGTTAAAAACATGTTTACATTTCTTGTATGTTGGCCATAAGAAGTAATGGGGCCAGCTTTGAGGCACTATGTTAAGAATGCTTGACCAGATCACACACTAACACCAGTCCTGAGGGGTGCACCTGTGCCTTTCTCTGGCTCTCATGATCTTTCTGCTGCCATCAGTGCCTCTTAACCCTTTCAGAGGAAATACTTGGATCTTCCCCAAGAAAAACACATACATGCGCACATGCCTTTCTTAAGTTCAGTCAGGGAGTCCACATTCAGAACTCCTGTCTAACATCCAGTCTTTCAGGGCTGTTTCCTTCCCACAGAAGAAACACGATTCACCCAGTTTACAGTGGTCTAGCTTACAAATACCTTTCCATCCTTAATTGTAGCAAAACACGCAGTCTCGATTTTGGCTGCGTGGTCAAAGAGTCCCATGTGACGAAGCATCATCACGGCACTAAGCAGGAGGGCGGTGGGATTGGCCATGTCCTTGCCCGCAATGTCTGGGGCTGTTCCATGAACCTATGATGGTGTAAGAAGACAGCATCAGAAGGAGGGAGATAGGACCAGGCATATGAACAGGTGCTAGTCATAGCATGCCCCAAGTTCTGGGCTCAATCCCCAACACCAACAAAAATGAAAAGACAATGCAGCCTTCTGGAGAAGCCAAAGTCTCCATCCTCTTTCTTTGGGGAGAAGTATGTGTGTGTGTGTGTGTGTGTGTGTGTGTGTGTGTATGTGTGTGTGTAGAAAGCCACTGTGTACAATTCACTGACACAGATCTTAGAAATAAAATAAAGCTGTGAAGAAATGAAGAGCTAATTTTTGAGTGCGAAAATATGGGCCCAAACTAGGGAGATGGCTGGGTGAGGAAAAACACTTGCTGCATAAATTCACATCTCCAAAACCCACATAAAAGCTCAACATGTAACAGGAGCATCCATAATCCCAATGCTCCAATGGTGAGACTGGGGGTGGAGACGGTGTAATCTCAGGGAGCACATGGGCTGGCAAGCCTGTTATTTGCAGCAGAAAAACAAGAGATCCTGTCTCAAGCAATGCTGAAGTAAGAACTAACACTGACCTACACACACACACAAGCATGGCACATTCATGCCTACAGAGTGAGTGAGTGAGAGTGTGTGTGTGTGAGTGTGTGTGTGTGTGTCTGTCTGTCTGTCTGTCTGTCTGTCTGTCTGTCTGTCTGTCTCACTCTCTTTTTCTCCATCACATACACACTTTATACATTCAGCACATACACACACACACAAAATTGTGGATCAATTATTTCCAGCAAATTTTGGTAAAACATTTTAAAGTGAAGGAGGGCACATAAAAAGTATCTGACCAGACACAAGGCAGAAGGGTCTCCAGTTTGAGGCCAGTCTGAGATGCGTAACAAAACTCCCCAAAATATACAAATAAGCAGAAATGTCTGGTGAAAAATAAACAAACCAATGTTATATAAAAAATAAAAGCTGTGGAACTGGAGAGATGGTTCAGTGGTTAAGAACACTGGCTACTCTTCCAGAGAACCCAGGGTTCAATTCCCAACACCCACATGGCAGCTCACAACTGTCTAACTCCTATGGGATCAGATACCCTCACACAGACACAACAATGAGCAGAAAAATAAATAAATAAATAAATAATTTATAGATGGCACATGACTTTAATGTCAGCACTTAGGGAAATAGAGGCAGGTGGAGCTCTGAATTTGAAGCCAGCCTGGTCTACATAGCAAATTCTATGCCAGGCATATTTTCAGACCCTGTCACAAAAATTCATACAATAAAAACAAAGTAACTTCCCAGACAATGTGCAAAACTGCAGTTAAGAGCCTGTGTTTAGACTACAGGGAACCCAACAACAGGGCCAAGTGCTGTTCTGAGCTGCACATGTGCAGCTATGGGCTGAGTGCTCTGTGAAGCCCAGGGCTTTCCAGAGCAGGATATAAACTGGCAAAGGAGAGAAAGGGAGTGCAAAACAATGAACAAGGGGGCAGGATCAAGTGGATGAAGGTTCTAGTTGGCCATGAACTCTAGGAATCAGGATCCTAGAGAGACAAGCTAGGTTGACAGGAAGTGGTGGCCTGAGATGGGAGTCTTGAAAAACTGAAAGCCAGGCACACATCTATCATCCCAACTCCAGAAGTTGAAGCAGGAGGATCATGAGTTTGATAGCAATCTGGGCTATACAATGAGACATGAAATCTGTGTACGTATCAGGGTCCTTACCGATTCAAAGATGGCAACACCGTTGGCTCCGATATTGCCACTTGGAGTCACACCAAGACCTCCGATCAGACCTGCACACAGATCACTGCGGACAGGAAAGAACATTGTGACAAAGAAAGCACGTCACCTAGCACTAAGATTCTAGTGTTTACTGTGATGCGCCACTAGAGGAAAGCAGAGTTTCTTGGAGGAGGTGTTCATTCCAGTCCTCAGGGTCAGAAATGCACAGGAGCCTGCAGCAGCTCACTGTGCCAGAGTAAGGCAAGGCGCAAAGGGCAGACCCAGCCCAGGACACAGGAGCCACGGACAGGAGGCACGGAGCCCAGTCAAGACAACCTGAGCCAATGAAGAACTCACCAATGAATAAAAGATGATGTAGACTCCACCTCAAAAATTAAAACAAATTAAAATTTAAAATACAGCATAGTTTCCTGATAACGTGCAAAGCTCCTGAGTTAAAAGCCTGTGTGAAGACTCTGAGAAGGAAAAGCTTCCCAACAGAACACCATGGACGAAATGCAAAAGAATAGGCTTTGAAAGTCAACATTTCCCAATATCCCATGGGGGAGGAAGGAGGAATCTAAAGAGGGAAGAAATGCTAGAGCAAGAGCTTGCAAGATGCCAACATTTGAGGACTCAGATACTCAGTACAGGGGGCTTCTATCAGTCTCAGGTTATGTCAAGTGGCTGGGGCTGTGTGGGTAAAGCTCCATGATAGCTCAGCACAAAGGGGCAGGAGGAGGAAAGACATTGTGATAATGACCAACAATCTAGCTAGCTGTGCATGTGACAAAATACACTAAAAATGACACTGAATTTAGTTCTTTTGTAGCAGATAGCTTATAATACATTACTGAAAACATAAAGCCATGATTCACTTTAGGTTGTTTATATATAAACTCTAGGTCAAAAATAAAAAGGGCATAGTCAAACTTACCTAAGGATGTCTCCATATAAATTTGGCATGACGAGAACATCAAATTGGGATGGGTCCTGTACCATCTACAAGGAATAAGTTGTGCATTTAGCAATCATAATCTGCACATCATGGATACACATACTATACACTGTGAAAAGCAACCAGTAACCATCAATGCATACTTACATTTAAACATACGGTATCAAGGTACATCTCATTAAATTTAATATCTTTACAGTTCTCTGCAACTTCCCTGCATTTTTGCAGAAAAAGCCCATCTGACATCCGCCTGTATTTAATGAAATAGAGATAAATTTAAAATGAAGACTTGCAGCAAAGCAAAGAATAAAATCAAATCAAAGTTTGAGAAAGCTAAGCTCCAAGTGGCTGGAAGTTGGCTCAGTCAGTGAAGTGCTTAAAGACTGGGGTTCAAACCCCTAGCACCCACAGAAAAGCTGTAATACCAGTGCTGGGGATAAAGACAGGAGGAGCCCCAGGATCCACTGGACAGCCAGTCTAGCCAAGCAATGAGCTCCAGGCCAATGAGAGACCCTGTCCCATAGAAGGTAGACACTGCTCCTAAGGAGGACACCTGTGGTTGTCCCCCATACACACACACACACACACACACACACACACACACACACGTACACATGCACACAGGAAGAAAAGCCTGGTGTAGTGGCTCATGCCTTTAATGGCAGCACTAGAGGGCAGAGGTGGTGGAGATCTGTGAGTTCCAAGCCAGACAGGGCTATAGAGACCCTGTCTCAAAAACAAAAGAAAATAAACAAATAAATAACTTAAGTTCCAGAATTCAAATGATGATGTTTCTATTACAGTATAATTATTTCTTGGGCAGTTAATAAATTGTGAGTCGGAAAGTTTCAGATCCTTACTGGTACACAAAAGTGTAAAAACAAGACAGTTCACTCACCATAGAGAAGACTAGAGTTTTGTAGTATTATCCATCAAGAACTAAGAGATAATTAAGTTGTGTTTGTTTGGTTGGCCTTTTTTTTTTTTTTTTTTTAAAGACAGGGCCTCATGCAGCTCAGGAGGGCCTCAAACTTGGTGTGTAGCTGGCCTCAAAGGCTAAGTGCTGGGAGTATAGGTACATATGGACTCATGTCCTGGCTAATATGAAAATTGCTTTAGGAGGGCAACTCTTAGTTAAATGGTTTCCTATTGTGCAGGTTCAGTCCTCTCTTAGGTTAGAAAAGTCATGACTCTGTCCAGTCAGAGGAGCCTTTAATAGACGGGGCTTGAGAACGCACCGCCAGAGAAACCCTTCTGACAGGATCTGCTCTATTTTAAGCCCTGAGCACCTGGCACTTCAGAAACACCCTTGCTCTCCCACATGGGAAACATGAACTGCATGGCCTCTGCTAACCTAACGTCTTCTCCAGCTTCCTTCTGATACCTCTGCCCTCTTAACTCCCTGAATCCTGGCCCTCTTCATATGTCCCTCTCACTTCCCCAGCTAGGTACCAAAGGAGAAAACTCCACTCTGATTGGTGTAATGTTCTTTTCTAAACTCTGAGACTCAGCGAGCAAGCTGGAGACTGAGTCCTGGAAGCTCCATCCCCACCACAAAGCAAGTCAGCTCTGCCTCTCCGGGACTCACATGATGTTGGCTTTGTGCACCGCTGTGACGTTGCTCCGGTGGTTGTTCCTAGCGTACTCGAAGGCAAACTCAGCAATGCGCTTGCTCGCTTGTTCGGTGATGAGCTTGATGCTCTGCACAACTCCATCAACGATCTGAAAGAGAGGAAGCCCTGCTTCACTGGAAGGGGTATGGCAACACTGTGGTACCAGCCAGCTTCACACTCATCTGTCTTTCAGAGATATTTTCAACTGAGAATTTGAACAATTGCCTCATTTGCACAAAAGGAAATCCCAGAGGGAATAAAAACCTCTCTGAGCCAGGTGTGGTGGCACATGCCTTTAATCCCAGCACCAGGGAGGCAGAGACAGGTGGATCTCTGTGAGTTCGAGGCTAGCCTGGTCTACAGAGTGAGGTCCAGGACAGCCTGGACTATGTAAAGACCCTGTGTCAACACACACACCACCTCCCAAAACATCAACAACAGAAAACCTTCCCCCCAAACAAACTAAAACAAAAAAGCTTCTAAGATGAACATACCACATGCTCAATTCCACTGTATTCTCCTTCCGTGTTCTCTCGGATGGTGACAATATTTACATCCGTGTAAGGGGTTTTATAACCTTCAATTGAGACACATGGCCGGACATTGGCATAAAGGTCAAATGTCTTACGGAGCAACAGATTCATAGATGGATGGCCAGCTGCTATTGGGGTCTTTAGTGGGCCTGTCAGAAAGAACAACAGTAGGATGACAACAGGGTTCACTTGGTCTCACAGGAAACCCACTAACACACCTGGCTCCTAAAAATGTGTTCTGCCTTCAACTTCACCCTCTCCCTCAGACCCAAGAGGAGGAACACATCTTCTAGGGAGGGTTCTGGGACATGACTTGCATTTCCTGCCTTGAGAACTACTGAGGACCAATCACTACATCAGATGCTTAGCATCTGCCAAGCCTCACTGCCCAGGAGGGACACTTACAAATAAAAGAAGAAACTAAACAATCCCAGAGAAAGACCTAGGTCTAAGTCTACCAGCCAGTGGCTTACAAAAGATGAATCTGAAAATGATTTAAAGCCTGCACCAAATTTCAATCTGTCTGAATCATGGCCTCAAGCATGTATAAATTAAAAATCTCATTAGAGGTAAATTGAGTTGAAAATAACAGACACAGTAAAGTTGGTATTGGCTAACAATACTTTAATGTTTTTACTAGAGTTTTAAAACAAATTTCCCAAATAAGAAATAACCATCTCAGGTCAAGAATATATTCCAGTAGAGCATATAAAAAAAGCCAGCATCTAGAGCTGTGCCTGTAATTCCATCACTCAGAAGGCTGAGGACAAAGAATCTCAAGTTTAAAGCTAATCTTGGGTTCAAGGCAAGTTCTAGGCCAGCTGGGCTATACTGTGAGGCCCAGTCTCACAAACATAAAACATTCAATAAATAAATAAAGTACCTTACCACAGGTGACACTTCATCAAAGGAGGTCTTTACTTTTGATAGACTTCAGACTGGATTTGGCTGACATGCACATACTCTCAACATAGAATGCCCGTGAGCAACCATAACCTCCTCTCCACTGTACCTTTCAAGCCCATCTTGTTCTTATCCATGGACTCTTTGGCTTCTGGAGGGATCATCCACTTTCCTCCTGGTCCTTGAATGGCAGTGACATTACGCTCCTCCCATTGAATAGGGGCCTAGAAGTCACACAATAGCACAGTGAACTGGAGTCTGGCATTCAGACTACAATGATGGTTCATCAAGACTGGATGCAACTAGTAAAAACATGGGCCATTAGGTCCTGAAAGTCCCTGACATGCTCTAAGTGATATTCACTAGTGTGCTCAAAGGGATTCTCTGCATTACCCTGGCCCAGTCATCACATCCAGCCGCCACCTGCTCATTTATTTCCTTCCCAAGGACTCCTAAGGTGGCTATAATTAGATTAGCATAAGAAGAGGATATAAGGTTCATAGACATGATTCATAGCACTGATACATGGATGAGCCTTGAAACCACAGTGCTAAGAGGGAAAAGTCTACCAGAAAAGACCATGTTAGAGTCTATAGACATGAATAGGTTATCAAACCTATAAAGAGAAAGCAAATGAATGTCTGGGGCTGGGAGTTGGGCACCCTAGAGTAACTGTTACGCATTATGGGATTTTTTTTGGTGATAAAATTATTCTAAATTAGACAGTGTGGGTGGCTACACAACTCTGAATATACTAAAAATCAGTGGACTCAATTGTACAGTTATTTGTGAATCCTATTTTTAGTGTCCTGATGAATGTGTGAAGGTCAGAGGTCAACTCTGGTGTTGGTTCTCACCTTCCACCTTGTTAGAGACAGGGTCTCTTACTGTTTGCTGCTGCATATGGCAGGCTAACTAGCCTACAGACACCCAGGGACTCTATCTCCGCCTCCCATCTTACAGTAGGAGCACTGGGATTACAGACACATTCTACTGCATCCAGTTTGACGTGGGTGCTGGGGATTTGAACTCAGGTCCTCACACTTGCACAGCACTTTATCTAGAACCATCGCCCCAGCCCTGGATTGTACCATTTTCACAAATGGTTTGAGTATTATGTGAATTATATCTAAATAAAACTGTCTAAAGAACAAGAAATACCTATGGAAGTCCTGGTTTAAAGCATAAACTAGTGGTCACTTCTTTCTCCTTCCACCCGTCATATGAGAACTGACATTTGACAGCCATCTCACTGTCTATGAAGAACTAGACAGAGAAAGGATGTGGCCTTGTTCTTAAGGAGCTTACAAGCATCATCTTATCTGCAGGAATTTCCATTAGAAACTCACACAGGAAAAAAAGAGTTCATATAATTTCAATAAATTTCATTCTTCAACTCACTGCTATTTCTTACACTCAGCAGTAGTAACAACAATAAAAACCCAGGTTACGATCCTAAATTCCCCAAACAAAAATGTTTTAAGGTATCTACCTGAGGCTGGGCATTGGTGGCACACGCCCTTAATCCCAGCACTCGGGAGGCAGAGGCAGGTGGATCTCTGTGTATTCAAGGCTAGCCTGATCTCCAGAGTGAGTGCAGGATAGGCTCCAAAGCTACATAGAAAAACCCTGTATCAAAAAAAAACAAAAAGGGCTGGAGTGATGGCTCAGAGGTTAAGAGCACTGACTGCTCTTCCAAAGGTCCTGAGTTCAATTCCAAGCAACCACATGGTGGCTCACAACCATCTGTAATGAGATCTGGCGCCATCTTCTGGCCTTCAGGGATACATGCAGACAGAACACTATATATAATAAATAAATCTTAAAAAAATTAAAATTAAATAAATAAATAAATAACAAACAAAAAATCTACCTGAATTGAAAGCTAGGCATAGGAATATTTTTGTTTTTCACCAGCCCTATTTTTTTTTAAGTAGAAAATCTGTGAAGATTATTTAACAACAGACCCTACAAACTATGTAGAATCTTCAAACAATTCATCTTGGCTAAGAAAGCCTCTGTGGAATATCTTTAAGAGGATTTTAAATACACTTACTTTGGCAGCATCAAAAATCTTCATAACTGAGGCGGAGATTTCTGGGCCAATTCCATCTCCTGGAATTAAAGTTACTGTCTGAACCTGAATAGGAAAAATCGTTGAAGAAAACAGTAAGGATTGGTTTTTGAAATTTTTTAAAAGAGAGTATCACTCACAGAGACACTCACTTTCCCTATATGTCAGAAAGAGCCAAATGCTTTAAGGAAACAGACAGACCCTCCTGCGATCATGACGGGGAGAAGAAACCAAATCCTCCATGTCTCTGCTTTCAACTGAGTTTGGAAATTTAAATAGTAACACAAATGATGCTCTTTAATAAAACAAAAATAAACTACTGGGTATACTTCCTGACTTGCATTTCTTTTCAGACAAACGTTGATGACTAACAACTCAAGTCTGTGAATCCCAAAAGAGCAAACATTTCGGCATTTTGGCACTGTTCTCGCACCAAAGCTCAAGGTCCTCCCAGGAGCCCTGGCTTCACTGTCTGTGGAATCCTGCAAGTTCTCAGGAAACAGTCAGGCTCATAAGACTCCAATGTTTCCAGAATTTCAGAGGTCTGTTTTAACACCTAGAAAAAAATCAAACTTCATCTCCAGATGGCTTCCACTTTCCTTAGTTCCTCTATAAAACTGGCTCCTTCACGTGGTCTAAGTGAGCATGGGATGGCAGCAGCAACCAACACCATGATCAGAGCTGCAAGGCCCCAGTTAGAATGGCATTGAGTGTATCTATGGTGTAACATCAATGACGTCAATTCCAAATGTTCTGGACAACAGTAAACGAGCATCTCGATGAGTGAAATATGTCAGAAGGAAAGATGAGAGGGTTTGAAGACTCGTTCAGACCCCTCTTCATTGGGAACGGCATTCCACCTGGCCTCTTACAGGTCTAGTTGCTTCAACTACATTTTTTTTTCTTTTTTTGGTTTTTCAATACAGGGTTTCACAGTGTAGCCCTGACTGTCCTCAAACTCACATAGATCTGACTGCCTCTGCTTCCTGAGTGCTGGGATTAAAGGTGTAGGCCACCACTGTCCAGCCCTCAACTACATATTTTTTAAAAATCACTAATTAAGGGGAAAGAGTGAGACAAATATGATAAAATACACCATATACACACATGAAAGGTATCCTCAAAGAATTAATAGAAATATTATATATATTTTAAATCATGAATTCATTTTTTAAAATCAGTAATTCAACTTCCCCTGGGCCTTTGCCTTACAATGACACCTGGATAGGCTGACTAATTATTTCTCAAGTTTTTTTTTTTTTTTTTTT